ATGCAGAACTTTTACTCTATGACTTTTCCCACTTGAAACCAAAAGCATATTGATTTCCAGCAGCATTTAAAAGAAGTTCTCCAGTAAATTTAAATCATTTTCCATTTCGATTTGGTAACCACAATGGAAATCTGCCAAGTGGGCTGCAAGCACATCGGGATTCTAGGTCATGGCCGCCATGACAGAGACCTTTCCTCTCTCCTCTTGGAAAGTTCACTTGGCTGGAACCCTATTCAAGTTTCGCTGCTCAATCTAAAAGTTAATATTTGCATTTAAAAATGCCGAGAGCAGAAAAGGTCAGGAAGGAACAGCTAACAGAATGGGCATGGTGGGCAAGCTAATGGTGGATAGAGTATGAAGGGGTCATGCCAAATCAGAGAAGCTAGCAGGTTTATATTAAATAATCGGAATGTTCCAGGTGTGCATTGATGCTGAGGACTCACTAAGAACCAATGTAGACATGTTCACCCACCAGATGCTTACTATGTTTCTAGTAAAATGGAGTTGAAAAGAAAAACGAAATTTGTGACAGATGAACAGTGGGTTCTGATCTCTTCAGGGGTCAATGTCCCACTGTGCTAAACCCTACATAAACAGGAATAACTTGCGTGTCTTCCTTGAGGAGCCTCCTCTCGAGAATACATGAGAGGGAAAACGTGAGCTCGAGAGCACCAGCTCCCTCTCTGCCCGGGCAAGGCTCCCCTGCTGCTCTGCTTGTGCCCTGGTGCCAAAAATCACCTGCTTGCCTTCACTGGGGGCCACTGTACTCTTTGTAAGTGCTGTGAGAACCAAGAGGGAACACATCACACTTCCACCTAATCCAGTAGGAGCATACTAGCTTCCCCCAAGCCCAAGAGCCTTATTAAAAGTTGAGATAAATTACATATCATTTCCCCCGATGGACTAAGCTTACCACTGGGTGAATGGAAAAGGAAAAGTTAGCTTGGCTGCACTGTAGCTTTATTCTTTCCAAGGCCAAGTATTTCCAGCCCTGGTCTCTACAGACTGTAGATTATGTTTACATATCTTCCAATCATGTCTCAAGTTAGGCTGACAAATAGTTAACTTTATGAGTTATTCTTTGCCTGTTAACACAGAGGCATTTTAATGATTCCCTTTTCAGTTTCAAGGACTGACGTGATCCTCCAGGCTTCTCAACAACTGGCACTGAAGCGGTGTGACCTCAAGCACACCGTGAGGGGTTCCCAAACAAACAAGCAGGTCCAGCTGTCACCTAGACAAACCCACTGAGTGGAGGTCGGAGGTTGAGAGCTGCAGAGACACTGTGTGTCAACAGTTTCTGCTAAGTCCTATACGGGCCATGATGTGGGCTCACGAGGCGAACTGGACATGGCAAGATGTGAGACAGACGGTTACATAGTTTTATAACTAGAACTTTGTTTGTCCTGGTTTGACTCTTCAGTTGGCATCAGCACAGAAAGAGAGGTGGAAACTGCTAGCTGTCCTTCATTCCCCTTCCTTCCTCAACAATGGAGAGACGTGTCCGTGGATGACCACGTTTGCAGCTCTCTGGCAGAGACATCCTGTGAGTTGTAAGTGGAAGGCAGCGGCAGAGGGGACTGCTAAAAAAAGGCCTTTGAAGTGGGCATCCTTACACACTTGGCCACAGACACACCCGTGCCTTCTTCCTCCTTCATTTCTAGAATGTGGGCATGACAGCTGGCATTGCAGTAGCCAGCTTGTGATCATGAGGCAAATGCTAATGATGGCAAATCAAACAGGAGGAGGCTGATCGTCTGGTGACTGTGGCGCTGTTGCTATGGCACTAGCCACCCCTGCTTACTCGTCAGTGTGACGAGATGGGAGCACACCTCCATTTTGTTTAAGCTCGTTATTGTAGGTCCATCGGAGCCCTTCCCAGCCAGCACGGCCAGCTGCAAAATTAGTGCCCTGATGCTGTCCCACTGGGCAGCTCCAGCCAAGCCTGTCTTGAGGATGGCTTTCAGGTTCAGGGCGTCGTCCGCTGAGTATCTGGGCTGCTGGTCTTTGAAGCACATTAGTAACAGTGAACTTGTGGATTCCAGCGGCATATGAGGTGGGTGGAGGAGGCCGGTTTCTATTGGAGTTCTCACCACTGTTTCATGGTGTTAGTCTGACCTCTGGAATAGGCTGCAAGGCCCTGAGTTTGATAATGTGCCAGGCGTCTTTACCCTTACAGCCAGTCCCCTCACACTACACTGGGCACACAGTAGGTGCTCACATCAATTTCTGCATGTCTGTTTTATTATTAGCAGAGATACGGACTCCAGATCTCCTTCTGTACAAGTGCCAGGCAGAAACAGTATATATGGCACCGAAGTGTATCCTGTTAGGAGGGATAGAGACAGAGCAACATGCTGGCCTCAGTGTGACAACTCAGCATTTTCAAAGCTTTTCCACATGTATTGTCTCATTTTCTCTTCACAGCCACCCTTAAAATATTCAGGGACAGGTACACATGTCTCGGTTTCACAAATGAAAAAACTGCAGCTTAGAAAGGTTAAGTCTGTTTCTTGAAGATAGACAAGTAGTAAATATCAATATCAAGAGTCAGGCCTAGCTGGACTTCCAGGAAAGGGCCCTTTTCGGGCCATTTAGATGTTCTCTCCCTGAGGTGAGGAGGGGCGCTGCAGGCTGTTATTGAGCGTATAGAAGGACCTCTTCAAGAAGACAAAGAAACACCCCACTGCCTGCCAGAGGCCGAGGGCAGGGCTCTAAATTCCAACACCAGCCTCCAGCACCCAGTTACAAGCTGAGACGACCATGGGAAATCTGCATATGAGGCATTTTCAGAACCCTTTGCTCATAAATAGTTGAGAGAGAGCTATTATGAGCCATTATTTGCACAAAACGCTAATTGAGGTCAGATTTTCACCCGCATGAGAACAAATCCTTCCACCTAGCCAAAGTATACTTAGTAATAAGTTTCTCCATCTGGAAGGTTCTTTTACATAGAGGTGAGGACCGCCCATACAGTTGCCACCACTGCCTGAGCCCCACACTCTGGCAGGAGAGTACAGCTGGCCCTGTCCACCCCAATGGGGAAATGTCCCCTCGGTTTCTGAGGACACGAAAGGCTGCTAATGTCCCCAGAAAACAGTGGTACTGACGCAAAGAGAGGGTTCCAGTGGTGACTGTGCCATCTGTGAACCATGCAATTTCCAGCCAGCTGAACTGGAGCAACTTATTGGGTCTCTTTATGCATAAATGACTGAAATAAAACTCACCTTGTTCTATCCTTGAAACTGAAGCAATTCGAAGGAGGGTCACCTGTTTCATTCATGTGCTGCTGTGCAGGAAGAATGGGGGGAGCGGTGGGACTCAGCCACACTCCTTGGCCAGGGTGTTGGGGGGCACTCAAGAGGCTGTAGGCTCACACCCATTTTGAAAACCATATGTTGGTTTTCTGCGTGGCCCCTCCCTGCCAGAGTTGAAGGTGCTCATCACTGTGGTGCAAAGGACTGTTCTTCCGTCTCTGGAGTTCTCCGCTCCGCTCCCGCCCTGCCGCACAGCTAACAGCTTAACGTCCTAATATGGCATTTCGAGCGTGTCACTCACTGCTCTTAAACCTTTAATGGCTCCCCAACACCTATGAAATAAAAGCCAAATTCTAAAGCCTCAAAGTCCTTCTCCATTAGGTTGAGATCTGCTTCCTTCTGCCCTGCATAGAACTCAAACGCACCGGCAATAAAACGAGGCAGTCACAGTTACTAGTAATAGGAGATTATTAATAGCAGTGCTCGTCATTTTAAGTGCTTCCAAATTTATTGTTATTTTATTAAATAGACTAATTAAAGCAAACATTAATTGTCCAGGTTTTCAGCTATTTTCATTTTCCAGTGAGTAACCAGGAATTACTTGCAGATGAGCAAGTCCTTCCTGGTTGTCTTGCATTTTAAATATTTCTGGTCGCCACTGTGAAAGCAGAAGCTGACTGCATTTAATTTATAAAGGAGGATTTATGGACTTATGGATGACAACAGACAGCCAATCAATAAGGGATGATAATAACAGCATGTAATATCAAGGAACATTAGGTCTCAGGCATGATTTGGGGAGAGAAGTGGGCAGTTAGAAACCTTATCATTTGAAAAAGGTCAAGGTCTGATAGCAATAAAAATGCCTAAGCAAATAAAATCACACCTGTGAGTTAGGAGCGGGTACAAATTGCTGAATGAAAAAGGATTTTAGACTTTTGTGGGGAAATTGCTTCCTTGGGCAAGGATTTGGGCTACCATAGGAAACAGGCCCTGCGTGAAGAGAGGGTCTATTTATTACTGCTAAGAGCAATAACGGAGAAACTCAGACATGGAGAGTGTTTCTGAACGCCCACCTCCTCCTGAGGCCGACACTGGAATCTTTCAGAAAATCGTGGTGGAGTTAGAAGCTGCAGAAAGTCTTAAAATGGCAGGGTTGAGCCTCACTACATGTTTGTAAGAAACACCAGCCATCTGACATTCTGCCTGGTCATTCCTTAGGGGTGAGAGAGGGGAGGGAATTTTTATTGACCTACTAAGTTGTTTGCTTGTGTACCTGAAAAAGAAAACCTTCCAAAAGGTACCATGTCGCAGATTCCATGACTACACTTAAATTTCATCTCTAACCAAAACCAAAATTCTAAATAATCATTATCTTTGACAAAGATCATAGTATTGCATGAGATTCCAGAGGTGGCTTTCCCGCATCACACACTATGGTACCATAGGAAAAAAGTCAGTTCCACAGAACTGTTCAAGAATAAACACACCAATAAAAGGTGGTGCGTAGATAGGCAGCTCCTGTCCTTAGAGCCAGGAGGACACAGTTAGAATCTTACTGGTTTCCCTTACACAGTAGCAGGAAAATTTCAAATAGGCCCAGAGATTGTATTATAGGTATGTGGAATTTCCTTTTAAACGATGTCCGTAGGACCAAATCCTCTATTTTGAACATGCCCCAGTCAAAGTTCGAACGCCCTGCTCCCCAACAAGGAGTGCAGTCTTTTGGGGAAGGGGGCTCACCTCCTTGTAAGGTGTACTCTGTCACGGCCCTGCTGAAGACGCCCAGTCCAGCCCCGTTGTAAGCTGCCACCTGTATTTCATACTGCGTCCAGATGATCAGCTCTGCCACCAGGCAGTAGTTCACTTCTGGGCTGCTGATGTTCCTCTGCTGATGCTCTCCAGGCAGGCCGGCCAGGCGGTACCTGCGTCAGAACGCGGAGAAGAGACTTGAGCCAGGCGCTGGCTTACCCTCGTTGTTGCGCAGGGTCAGAGGAAAATGGTGCACGTAAATGGGAGTGAAGTGAGAGGTTAGCCCTGGCAACACTCCTTCCCAGTTCAGTGATGCAGCAGGTGTAAGACCTAACCTCTCAGCGATTATAAACTCTGGGCCAAACAGATCTGACAATTCGACTGCACTATGGTTAAGGGAAAAATTATAGCTTTTTAAGTGTAACTTGTCTAGAGAGTCCAGTGATTTAGTACCAAAAATTCCAGACATGTTTTCCGGTGTGTGTGTGTGGGGGGGGGTTGCTATACATCAGCTTGAACAACAGTTCCCTCCTGAGACTCTGCTGTGGCCAGAACAGAGAAGCAGACCACGCTGCTCTGGCCACTGGGGGCTGAGCTTCCAGTCTGGTTTCCATTTCAGGATTGTTATGTCCCAGAACTGGGATAAGTGACTTTAAAGGTGTACACAGCCCATAAATGCTACTCCAATGCTAAGTATGGCAAACTGCTTTTTAGGGGATCACTGAAGGTGCGTGTGTGGTGTGTTCTGTAGCATACAATGGCAGAAATTCAAAATTGCATTTATTTTTCAGGTGACACACGTGACTCTGGGAGCTTAGAAGTGCATAAATTAGGAAATTGCTATTTGCACTATGAAAGAACATTTTTAGCATCGTTTTGATTAGCAAATGTTTTTCCATTATTCTGTTAATGGAGTTGAATCAGCCTCCTGGCCAAAGAGAGGGGCATGTGCAGAAGGAGTCATTTCCTAAACCATCATCTGTTTCTGCCTAAGATGTGGTTCTCATCTCAGGGAGATGCGGCTTTGTGTTTTTATGTCAAGTGGAAAAGGAGAACCCAGCCCAGAGAGGCTGCAGGATGCTGTCCACTCCTCAGGGCGCTGGGCGCCCGAGCTCCTCCGGGAGTTATCCTTGTAGTGCTGGGTCAGACAGCGCGCCTGGGCCTGGGCTCAGCGGGAGGCCTGTGGGAGGTGTGCGGGAGGCGTGCAGGCCAGAGGGCAGCAAGACCACACCACCCAACAGGAAGGAACTCAGGCCTTCCCACGGAAGACACCGCTCCAAAGAGAATGATGACTGAAATGCACCAGCAAAGCCCAGAAATGGCAATGAAAGGCTCTTCGTGAAAACCAGGATTTTCTGAGCGTCGTTTTTCATCCCCACTCACGACAGACCATTTATACAGGTGAGGCCTGTTTGATAGGACAAACAAATGACCAAGAACTGACCACACTTGAATAGCAAGAAGGTCCAGGGACTCCTCCTGCCTCTTGGCTGTGGAGCAACAGCCTCAGTGGGAAGCCCAGAAGTGGAGAGCAAGCAAAAGTCAGCGCTCGCGGATCAAGCCACTCGCTTGCTCACATCCCCTGGGTGTGCAACTGGCAGAAGTGGCCTGCCCCCACAGGGCGGCTGTGCCTCACAGACGGGTCCACCACGGGGTGTAAGGAACGAGCCACATGGAAGACTCCCACTAAGTCCCCATCCACGAAACAAGGGCTGTCAGAGTGAATGGCACTGAGATCCTTAGGCAGACCTGATGGAAAATGGCAAAACTAGGCTCCGTGCCCACACCACACCCCGAGGATGCTGCCATGTGGGTGGTACCTGGGGGGATTTGTAACCCAGAGGCACAGACCGGGCACGAGGGTCTGAGAAGCGCTCTCATGCTGGGTGCTATCACCACACACCCACGTTCCAGGGCAGAGAAAAAGTCAGCTCCAGAGGCTGGGGAGAGGAAGCACACTGGTGGTCTCAGCTAAGCCGTCCCTGCACCCAGCCTTGGCTTCCACTCCCGGGATGACACTGGGACATGCCAGGGGCTGTTCTTAGACTAGGATGAAACCGATACATGTGAAAGGGAACTAGCAGAGTAGAGCGGCCCCTAAATATGTCTTCCTAGAAACGCTGCTCTTCTAGGAGGTGTGTGCGAGAAACCTCTGAGCTGTACTAAGCTAAGCCTGGGGCAGCCACCCTCTTTGCACCAGGCCCCTCCGTGCGTGATGCTGCAGAACAGTGCAGAAGCGTGTCTTGGACACAGGCTTCTCTCCCACAGCCGGCAGTGTGGGCCATGCTGTAATATTCACAGGATGTCTGGGAAGGTCACAATTAATAACGGAGGTGCAGGGCCTCATCCTTTGACTGCTAGGCGACGTTGCCCAGGAGACCACCTCAGACAGAACGAGGCGGTTTTTTTATACGGAAATAAACAGGAGAATGTTTTTAAAGGACATAACCCCTATGCTCCTCTCAAAGAAACACCCTGGCCATTATTATAAATATTTTATTACTGCGCACGCATCCTAACTACTTCTTATGGCTGGACCCACAGTGGTGATTTATTTCCATTTTGCTCTTCCCTGGATGGTGCTGCAGATCTGACAGAGACTCGTGCCCTGGAGGAAACAAGCTTGCAAACAGAGCTGATTTGCAGACCAGAGGATTATTCAGAAATGTTTCCCAGCAAATTCATTTTGGCATGGGCCTTTAATTTCTGAAAACTTTGATATTCACAGGCCTTGGGTGGTACACCCTCATTTTAGGGTTTTTTTTGACTTAAGCCCCTACAAATACAGATGCCCTCTTTGCAGAACTCGACTCCACTGACACCATCATGGAAAATCCTTTGAACAGTCATAATCCCACAAAATAGAGAAATGTGAAGTCTCTGATGGGAACTTGTAACACCAGAGAGATTTTATTATTAAACTCCACGCCTCGAGCCCAGTTCTGTGGGCTGATTTTTAAAGTCGACTTGATGGCTGGAGCCTAAGGAAACTATTTCTCCATGTGCTGCAAGAGACAGAGGCAGTCAGGGTGAAGAAGCATGTGATGGACGGGTCCAATGTCTGCCACTATTAGAGGGGCCTGGAACAAGGGCTGCAGCTGGAGCAAGAAGCCAATTGCAGGGAGGTGATGGGGAACTTTGGCCTTCACACAGTAGGCTTCAGGGCTGTTTCTGGAGAACTGAGACATGTCCAGAAGCATCCACAGGACCCAGAGCCTAGGGGATGGACTGCAGGCTCTCTGTGCCTTTTGAAAAAGGGAAGAGCAGCTGGGGACATGAGTTCTGGTTTCAGTTCTCCAGCCCTTCATGTACCCCTGGGGACTGAGCCTTTAAACCACCACAGGCAGATAATGACCTAGCTTGTGTTTTGAGGATGATTCACATACTGGAGGGAAAACTTTATAGTAGCAGTGAATTGGTTGTGACAGGCAAATATTACATGCATATGGATAAACATGTATGAACTGATGAATGGATGATTACACAAACACATACTGGGAATGGGTGGTCCCCCCCTCCCCACACAACATACACAAAGACAGAGGTGTTAAGGAAGCATCATACATTGTTTCTTACTTTTATCTAAGCACATAAACATATCCACTTAGGACCTTTGATTACCCGTATTTGGTCATGTGCTGAGAATGATCAGGACAATGACATGCTCAGAATAAACACAAGCTAGGCACTTGGAGCAACCAGCTACCTTCTGGTTTTGTAAGTCTGCCAACAAGTAGGGCTAATAAATGAGTCCACAGTTCTACAACCTACTAGAGGAGAGTTAATAATTATCTCTCAATGTAGTTTTACTTTTTTGCCTTTACTTGTGTCAACAAGCTACTGTTTGGTGCAATTTTAAAATTAACAGTAGTTATGGCAAAAGAGATTCTTCTTTCAAATCCAGACAAGTTCTGGCATATTTCTGAGAACATGCTTCGAAGCCAATCTTAGATGGCAGAGATGGCAAATTGGCCACCCTTGGGCCATATCTGATCTATTGATACGTGAGTTTTGTGTTTAAAAATGTGTTGATTTTATTTTTAATGCTTAAAAATTCTTTAAAACACTAGAAAACCTTATGCTGAGCAACATACTGGTATGGAAACAACTGTTTAATAATTAAATCAACTTATTATTATTAATTAGAATTACTATATTTAATACACTTGCTCCTGGTGAAAAGGACTGACAACGAAGAACACAGCATGCTACCAAACCTACACCCGACTCCAACCTGCTGTCAGAATGCAACGACTAGTGTCAATTGTTGTGTGTATACATTATGCCTAGACTGTTCTGAGTACATATTCATATGTTCCCGGGTTTGCCACAGGCTACCCCATTCCCTAAAGACTTACAGGTGCTCTGGTTCTCCTGATTGCTGGGCTCCTACAGACATCTGAATTTGCAGCCTCAGTAAATTAGACATGTAATTATTTATAATCACAGTCTACAATGGCCAACCACAGCCTACTTACCTGAGGATGTACCCACGCAGCACCCCATTGTGTTCTGTTTCTGGGGGTGGTTGCCACTGAACCATGATGGACTGATTTGTCCGTCCACTGGCCACTATATTTTTGGGGGGAGCACTGGGTGGTTCTTCAGGTAACATCAACCTAAAAATAACGAAGGGGGAGTGGAAATAGAGATCATCAGGAGAAACAAAGATGGCTCATTCATGTTTCCTGTCTTGCTAAATCTGGAGCTATTCACTACAATTGAGTGATGAGAAAAACAAAACACACAGCTGATCAAACTGAAAGGATTTGCATGAAATAGTTGCAACAAATCAACATAATAAGAAATCAGTTAGGCAGCAACAAGGAAGACACCGGAGGTGACCTTATTCTGTCTGAATAACCCCCGTACTGCTCCTCTTTAACAGATTATGAGCCTCAGCGGGCCAGCTCACAGGCCTGCATTCTGAGACTCCTCCCAAATTATTTTCTTCAGCGCTTTCAATATTCCTCGTCTCAAACGCTCACGTTCTGACAAAAAGTCACTTAGATCCCACAATTTCACATCTCAAGAGCATGGGGCGCACAGTGGGGCTGGGGAGCGGGCATGTTGAAATCGATGAAGCCTCTTTCCAAGTCACATCTGGGTGGGCTTCAGAAGCAGCCAGCCCAGGGGGGTGAGCATCAGTCCACTTGGGGCTCCACAGCGACACCAGTGCTCACTCAGCTTTCTTACAATATGCTGAGATGTTTACTTGTCAAAACTGTCAAAGCGAGGCGCCAGCTCCCACTCCCTTGCACTCAGCTGGATAGAGGGCATGGAGACAGGCACACTCGCATTTCGTGTGCACCGAGAGCTGCGCTATCAGGAGTAACTCATATCAACATGGGCAGAGCACCACAGAAGTCTCAGAAACTTCCCTGAGAGCTGGCCAGCAAATGATTGTGTTTTTTCTTTTTTTGCCAGTAACATGAGGGCTGGAGGGTGATCACTCTGATCAAGTTCTCCACCTGACACAAAGCCTATGTTTGCTCTAAGGCTCAAGCTGCTCCTCACCCTTACGGAGGGCTAGCGCTCACGCACCTGCTTGTCTCTGTGCTGTACTGGCCCTTGCCCACTTGATTCACGGCACACACCCTGAATTGATAGGTGCGAGCGGGGGTCAGACCATGCACGGTGACGCCTGTCATTTCGGGGCCAATGTCTGACAGATGCACTTTCCACGGAGAGTCTGAAAGAATAAGCAATACAAATTCAAATCTACGCAAACACAGTATAAATAATAAGTGCATGCAAAATGCGTTCCCTAAATCACCTCACTGACTTACAAACACAGGTCTGAGAGATGGAGCACTTTTTTCAAAGTAACAGACATGGAAACTGAGCTTCATTGAGGCTGGTAACTAGTGAGCCTGGCATTAAAACTGGGTCCCCACTCCACATCCAGTGTGCCTCCCGTTACCCACACGCTGCATCAACAACTAAAGAAATTTACTCTTCAACCTGCATATGGTAGTTCAAATGGAACCAAACTATTTCTCCCCCCTGTCTTCAATATGTGATCGGAAAGAGTTCACTGACAGCTCACATGGTTAGGCAGATTGCAGATTTGCCTCCCAGAAGAGGATGCTGCACATGTCACCAAATGATAAATAAAAACTATATTCATTAACATTTTAATAAAGGAGGAAATGAGCATGATAAAGACAGATGGGCTGTGTATTTTGCAACCCATCTGCGTGGCGGTCCGTTCCACCACCACACCCTGAGTGGCTCTGGCTGGAGAGAGGTGCAATGAAATTCACAGCTAGTTCACAATATCTTTCCACCCAGCTTTCTGGCAGGTGTGGGAGAACAATTCTGTCAGCCAAATGAAGCTGCAGAAGGTTCTGCCGGCTCCTACACCTTCGTGTGATTGTTTTGCAGTTAACATGCTTTTTGGCCAGATCATTTCATACAGTGAGGCCTTGGCGTGAGCAAGCCCTGGCAGTGATGTTGAGCACCCACTGTCAGTTCCCATCTGAATTGCTATGGTGCCCGAACTGTATTTTCAAGTTATCATCAAAGTAAAACATGGGGAAGAGTCTGGGTGAAACCAAACCTTCTGTTTTGTTCCTGGGAAGTGTTAAAATCCATTCACCCCCAAGCCCTGGAGTTTGTTATAAAGAGATGACGTACGAAGCCCACTTGGGCATCAGGCAAGGCTCAGAGTGAAGTCAGCACCAGCTACATATACGCTCCACACAGCCACTTCTGCAAAAGCCTGAAGGTCTAGTGGTGAGGACTCATGAGTCTGGGCTGGGGCTCACTGGAAACACATCTGGTTCCCTCCTTCCAGGTTAACAAAGAGCCACAAACTGCTCTGAAATCAAAGAAGACTCTTAAGGGCCACCCTGCTGACCCCACAGAGATGACCCCCACAGAGATGCCTATTACCAAGTTGGAGTCTGCTAGCTGGATTCCTCAACATGAAGTTATGCTGCTCTGAAGCATGATGCCAGTTGGGCTTGAAGACTGAATCTTTTTAATTATTTCAAATAAAGCTGCTTCCAAAAATGACTTTCTGGGAATGCAGTCTTCCCTACCAGCTGGGCATTTCAGTGTTCTTGGCTGTGGATTTGCCATGATGGGTAATCTACTGTTGATGAGGCGCCCCTCACTTCACGCTTCCTTAAAAATGCCACGTATGCAGCCCCGACTAGCTATGGGAAAAGCACAGCAATTTTTCCTTTCACTCGAGTCTGAGAGTTCTAGAAGCACACAACAGCTCGTGGTGACCTGGTGTTCTAAGGAGGCTCCATGTCAGAAAAGAGCCACTTGTCAGCACAGAAGATGAAGGGCTCCCTAGGGTCACTGCAGCTAGTTTGGCTGGTGGGAACCAGGACTCTCCAAGTCAAGCTGCAGTGCAAACAGTTTTCATTTTGTGGACTGAAAGGTAGTAGAGAAATGGATACCAAAACTGACTGTGAGTCTTCCACGGACTTGTTCAATGTTGCATGTGCTCCTTAATAATAATGGAGGGGGCAAACCAAAACCACAATGTGACAGCACCTCACAACCATTTGCATGGTAAAACTGGGGGGAAAAGCACAAAATAACAAGTGTTGGCGAGGACGTGGGGCAGCTGGAGCCCTGTGCAGGGTTGGAGAATGGGAAATGGTGCAGCTGCTGCAGAAACAGGATGACAGTTCCTCAGAAAGACTAAAAATAGAATTTTACCACCTGATCCAGCAATTCACTTCTGGGCATAGATCCAAAGAAAATAAAAATAGGATCTCAGAGAAAGATTGAACACCGGTGTTCATAGAGCATGACAATAGCCAAAAGGTAGAAGCATCCCATTGATGGGTGAATGAATAAACACAATGTGCCCAATTTATACAGTTGAATGTTATTCAGTGTCAAAAAAGAAGTAAATTCTGACATGTGCTACAACACGGATGAGTCTTGATGACACTAGATTTGTGTTGTAAGAAGATAAATCCCATACGACGTACTCAAATGTGATCCCTAGAGTAATCAAGTTCTCAGAAAGTGGAATGGTGGCTGTCAGAGACTGGTGGTGGTGGAGGGAGTCGGTGTCCAAGGGGGAGTACCAATTCTGGATAATTAACACATCTTAGGGGAGTAAGCAACACTGTGAAGATACTTAATGCTACTAAATTGAGCACTTAAAAATAGTTAAAGGTGTAAATTTTGTATGTATTTTATCACAACTCAAACTCTAATGGTGAAAAGCTGGGAAAATAAAACCGCTGAGACTTCCATGAGTATGAAATAAGGGAATGTGGATTGCTGTGTCCAGCTTGGCCCAGCGAGCCTGGTGTGTGCTTGGACATACCTGATTCCCAGAGCCACTCCCATCCTCTTTGTGCTCTGGGGAACCTGCCATGACAGGGACGGGGTCCCGCCCCAAGGCTGGCATCCTCCACCTAACTGCCTGCTCTCTTCCTGGGGGAGCTCTGCACTCAGCCTGGCAGCCCCTTGTTCCTGCAGGTCACAGGTGGTGCCAGCTGGGCTGCTGCCAGCCCTGGGATCCTGGGATTTCCTTCAGCCCACACCTTTGTAAAATTCCCCCTGGAAAGCTCCCTCCTTTATTATTCTAATCGGAGGCTGCCCAGTGGCCTACGTGTACCCTAACTGCTAGAGTGCTCAACAAGCTTGTCTCCCACCCCTGTCTCCATGCAGCTCTCTGTGTCTGTAAACAAACAGCTCACCTCTCTGCCAGGTGCTGAGTGGCCACAGCAATTTCCACAGGAAACAATGTTGAAAGGTCAGTGTTCAAATCAACTGACGGAAGCTGTTAACTGAGGAAGAAAGTGGCAGAGAGGGCCCAGAAGTTGCCTTTCCTGACTCAGTGCCTCCCTCCCACCTCAGCCCGTGACTGGCCACCATTTGTCCATTCAGTGCCTCTACAGCTCTTGGAAGTGCCTAAGTCCAGCAGCAGGATCTGCCGCCCCGTTTGATTTGACAACAGGGTCCATTAATCCACTCTATACTTTTAGCCCTCTGGATGCATCTACAGAATTCTTTATTCCTTTTTTCCCCTCTTACTAAAAGATAAAAGATCTGGCAAGAAGAGAGATTAAACTGAAAACTAATACAAATGAATCCGATCCATCCCACGGGCACTCTGATTTGTAGCAAAAATGAAAAAAAAAAAAGTGGTTTGGGAAGGATTAGCTCATTCACAGGCTTCTGAATTTCAAGCTTGCTGAGAACTGTTAAAATTTAAAGAGTAATTTCTGCTCCTGACAATCAATAAGCAAAATCCCTTTAAAACATTCTTCTCCCAGTCCTCACAGAAGAATACTACAGGCTGCTTGTCTTGGGGGATGGGGTGTTGGAGGATTTTTTTGATAAAAGAAAGCATCCCATAAAGTTTTAAACAGTTTTCCCCTCCTCTTCAGGGATACCTCTCACTCCTCTGATCTAGAAGACCAGACAGAAGACAAGGAAGTCCGGACTTTCGCAGTCAGGCTATTCTACAAACCTCTGCTGTACAAATGGCCGTCACTAATCTTCCGAGCTACGAGCATCCAGAGTCCAGGCGGAGTTAATTCTCCTCCACGCTATCTGTTGTTTAAAAGCTAGTGGTGGTTAATCTTTGCAAATGTACTAAAGCTTATTCCAATAAAAAAGCATTACCCATTTCCTCAATTAAAAGTACCTAAGGAAGGAAAATGCTTTTTCAAAGAAAACTTTCTTAAATGCCAGGAGGCCCATTAATATAACTAATGCCTAATGTCTGCACAGCAGCCGTGATCTGGAAGTGCCTGTGTACCTGGAGCCTCTTGGGAGGGCTATGGTCCCCTTTTCCAGACAGGAAACTAAGACTCTGGGAGTTTAAATAGCGTCTCCCAAAACTCACAGGTGTCCAACTCCTAGACTGGCAGAAGGGTCAGCATCCCTCTCAGGAAGTAGCGGGACCCTGTGTCTCTGCAGGAGCTTCAGTAGGAAGTGCCAGTATATGCAGGAAGAACTGACCCACACACAGTCCAGGAAAATAACATCAAAAGCTGAACTGAAGTTAATGCAGCTCCAGGCAATGAAGAAGACTCTGGGACCTATGAGATGAGACCTTAACGAAGTCACTAACCAAATCCAGGGCTGGAGACATAAAGCAAGACAAACATTCTAGCCTCTGTACCAGGAGAACAGGAGAAAAGGTAGTGGAGAGCTTGTGGACATACAAACTAACAGATGGACCAGGATGTTCATAATGGGGGACATTAGCTAAGGGTGAAGGAATGATCCTGCAAACCTAAAGCTGTTCTAAAATAAAATATCGAGTAAGAAAAAAGAGGCCTGTCAGTGAGTGGGTTGGTGTGGCCTGGGAGGAGAGGGGCTTTTGTAAAATATTGAGCGGGCTGGTGCTGAAGATTCTGTGTGTTCTGCAGTCTTCTTGCCTTCCAGATAAACATGACCCTATCAAGTATTAAACACATCTAAAATGAGCGAATGGAAACACAATTTTAAAGAATGTAACTCAAACCCACTCTGGGTAACCCTAGGAGATGACTGAAGTCACAGGAGTCCCTGGCCACAAGCCACTGGGATGCCTGAGGCAGGAGTTCTTTACTGGTCAGAGAATTTCACAGGAAAGCAAGAAGGCGCAAGAAGTACTAGGGATTTTCTACTTAAAACTGAACAGCAAAGACTGGACAGTTAAAAACAGCTGCATGTCCTTCTCCGGGAGGGCCTTGTTTGTTACATAGATCTTTAGAAAAA